CTGAATCTCTCAAATATCTTGTTTTGTTCTGAATTTCAACGCATTGGTTATGTGCACAGCCATTTCCACTGTAGAAGAACTAACAGAGAACTTGAATAAAATCCTGTTTTTCCCCGCAGAGGGAGTACAGAGTTGGGAAGCAAGTGCGTGTTTACAGGCAGTGAACAATCTCAGTAGGCATCCACATATCAACTATATGTTAGCGATACGTACGTGTCCATGCARAAGGAAAACTTCTCGAAAATAATAACCGTCGTGATATTCTACATTATATGCTAGCATTCTTAGTTCTTTTATAAATTTAAGGGCGAGCATTTGCATTAGTATATTATGAACGCAACTTTTTTACATAACTGCGTTTCAACGGGACGAGATCTTATTCTCGAGCACACTGCTCGTCAGTTAAGCTAATAAAACAGGTAGTGTTAACGATTATAATTGTGCAATACCTTAAGTTAAATAAAACAGGTCTACTGAAAGCTGTTTCATTATCTTATTGAATTTTMTGGTCATAACGATGATTCTAGCCTTATTCCGCTGGTTAATGCTTATTCCGCTAGTATATGCCTATTCCGCTCATATGCCGCTAAATCGGAAATGCCTATTCCTTCAATAAATTTTGTTTCGGATTTCCAAATACGAGCTTATTAAACCCTGACAATAACTGCAAAATTCGTGCCTTCAAATTCCATTTGAAACGAAATAGTTTTTGAAAAATGTAGACATCATGGCGGATTAAAAAAGTGATGGCAAAGAAATAAATTGGCTCGAGTCCTGGCACATTCAAGAAACGCATGGCAAACAGCCGGACTAAGCAATATGGATTTACTCGCCACATCTTGACATAATTCATACGAAAATAATTGCTAAACTCAAGATTTTGATGTTCATTCTTTTTTTGCAAGAAACCATGAAGGACCTGTCCTTCATCGTCTCTTGTTGTTTGTAAAACATTCTTTTTATCGCGCTGTTGTATTGTTACCTCTTGTCCGCGCGCTCTTCTCTTGTGCATGCTTGTGGTTTATTCGTACATGTAGATATATGACCGTTGAACGTTGCTCTAAACATTGTACCCTGATGATAAGCTCGGTTATTATATAAATTTTAAGGTTGTTGAAACATTTTAGAAATAAATAAATAAAAAAATTTAAAAATATGCCGAACGTTCTATAAAATCAATATCTTYAGAGGTCTCTGATTTGATTTGCACACAGGCTGTTGTACTAGTTTAACAGCTTCATAATCAAGGACCTGAATTAACAGCATATGACCTACCAGTTTTATTTTTTCAGTTTTTCCTGCAGGGTCTATTTTCGGCCATCGTCTCTTAGAATTCAGTCTGTTCACCTTGGCTTATAAGACAAGTAATGATAAACACTGACTTTGATCGGGAGATGAAGGCTTTAATGACATGCGAAGCGGAATATTCATCGTCATAATGTGATAAAAATCTACCAAGTTGATCGAATGGTGCCAAAGCTATCGTACTGAAGAGTCAATGTGTTTAGATTGATATATTTCCTTTATGAGAAAATGGAAAATTGTGGTTATGGCAATCGTTTGGTAAATAGTGTTTGGTTGACACATTGATGTCACAATGAACCCCAATTTTTATACATTGACACCCATTTTTATAGTTAGTTTGCCATTTGATTTATTTTTACAATAACTTAGACAATTCTCGTGCGCTGATTGGTTATTTTTTATCATCAATAAGAGGACAGACAGATAAAGCTGACGTCAACGACCTCTCGCTCTTTCCGTTGATTGTTTTGATCACTAAAAATGAGAAGTTTTTATCGTTTTTGTTATTGTAAAAAACAAATTGACATCAG